GATAGGTAGATAGATAGATGATAGATAGATGATAGACAGATGATGATACATAGATAATAGATAAGATACATACATACAAAGATACATAATACATAGATGATAGACACATAGCATATACAGGATTGATATTACTCTGTTTCAGACATCTGCTGGGGGCCTGGGGACATATTTCTACAGATGCAGAGGGACAGCACAGTACAGGGAAATGAAAGCATGAAGGAAGTAGCTGACTTGGAAATAAGGTATTATTCCTGAATTCAAGCTCAAGAGTTAAGCTGGTACTCCTACTTCATATTCATTTTTAAATTATAAAGTATAGCTGCATAAATATCATTTAACCTGGCAGATCAGCAGTTGTGACCTTGACACTAAAACCAAAACAAGAAACCTCCAGGATAAACAAGGAAGTATAAGTGGGTGTGGTGGGCAAGCCTAGGATCCCAGCACTTGAGATAAGGACAAGAGGATCAGGAGCTCAAGGTCATCTTCCACTACATAGTCAACTGGAGTCAGCCTTGGTCATATGAGATACCGACAGAGATGGGGGAGGGGGGAGAAAGAGAATGAATATGCCTAATCTTTGGCATACTTGCCCAAAACACAACCAAAAATGCCTTTGAAAAGGGGGAAATTTAAAGAGGTGGTATAAGTATAAACACTGGCAGGTCACAAACATATATGAGCACTTTTGCTGTTGTCTTGTGTTGAGACAGCAAATCAGTGTCATATGAGCACCATGAGACTTTGTAGCCTGTGCGTCTGCATCATCTCTACAACCCTCTTCCAGGTTTATCCCTATTCTAGAAAAATGTTCTCTATGATAGTTTTGGGAGGAAAAAAAAACATTACAATAGCTGGCCCATGAAAAATGACTGATTCCTTTTAAAGCATCTCCAGCCAAATATACGACTGAAGAGGCAGTGATGTAAGGACTTACCTTTCACTTCACTTCCAGTCAGTCAGTGTGGAATAAGATACCGGCCTGCCAAGCAAAGTAGTTTAGCCACAGTGGGGCAAAGGGATAGGACAGGGTTAAAATGCTGACTCCTGGCAGTTTGGGGACTTTGGGCACATTACTTAATTTGCTGAGCCTTGTTTATTTCACCTTTATACTGGCTCAGACTAAAACCTATTCCAAATGTTTGCTCAGGATACAAAGATAAATATATATATATATATATATATATATATATATTTTAACTGAGATGTGACAGATGAAAGCAAGAATGAATCACAAGGCTAGGCAGACAGCAGACATCTGATCAATGCATTCACTGCCATTATGAACTCAAGGTCCATTCATTTACTCAGCAAATGTTTCTTGTGTCACTACTGCATGCCAATACCATTCAAAGTTCTAGACATACAGCAGTAAACAAAACCAACCCAAGCCTCTGCTGCCTTCTGGAAGCTCCCATGACAGAATGATATGAGACACTGAGGCAGAGGACCCACCATGTACAAAGAAGGCACTGAAGAGACACACATGGAGATATCAGGAAAGTTTATTCACACTGGCAGACTCAAGCAGAGTTTCTTCCTAAAAACTTAAACCCTGAATTTAGTTCCTTCAAAGTTTTTAGAGGTTTCCCCAGATCATTTCTTGACTCTTACAACACTGGTAAGTTTAAGTTACTAATTGTAGATTTCTAGCATAGACGCTTACATGCCCTAAGACCACTGAAGGGAAATTCCTTCTACAGGCATGTTTGCAGAGATAGCTATTTAGGGCAAGAGTTAAGACATCCTTTAATAACAATTTATTGCAGGTGTCTTAGTCGGCAAGGTAAGTGCAAACAGATGTTCCACTAGATAACTATGGTACTTGTTTCTCAAGATAGTTTTGGGGTCTTCTGTGTTCACCAATTAGTTGTGGTTCCTTTCAGCACAAATTTTTAGTAAGCATACATAAAACCATTACAAGGTGTTGTAAAGTATAAAATCAGCCATAAAATTATAAAAACCATATCAGATACACAAAAGGGATATTAAATATATGGGTATATTTCTTTTTCTCTTCAAGAAGGGAGAGTTATTTTAACAGACCCTTCCAAATCCTTTCCTAAAATGGGTAGAAAGGGAGAAAAATCTAGAAAATATATTTTACACATTTTTAGCCAGATCTTATAAAAATGAAGAACAACTATATACAGTTGATGTCATGAAGATCTTCCGAAGTTCTGTTTATGAAATGGTCCATTTTTATTGATATATTCCAGAGGACATAGTTCACAAAAAGTTTATCAGAAACATCAAAACTCTCTTATTTCTAAAAACTTTTAAGTTACATCTAGTCATTCTGATTACATGGGGACTGTGCAGTCTAAAGCCATGTAGTACAAGCTTTGGCCTCCAGTCCCTTCCTTCCAGCAAAGCCCTGATGCTCGCTCATTTAAATTACAAAACCATGGTGTCCAGAGGCTTCAACAGGGAATGGATAAACAATCTGTGAGGGAGAGAGACATAATCATGGCATGTACCCTTCAACAGCCCACAGGATTCCACTAGGGCAGTAGCAGAGACCCCAAAAAGGAAACCTAGCTTGGGGGCTAGATGAGCATTTCACCCTACCTCAGGGCTGGGAAGCTGAACCAGGTAGATCATGGCTTTTTGTTGGCTTGATGTGTAAAGCAAAGTTAGTCCAAAAAAGAAATAGTAAATACTAAAATACTAAAGAGCAGGTCACCAGGAAGTTCCTTTCCAGGATATTCTTTGTACACCAAACTGAACCAGATGCCTCTCTGAGCCTGAATAAGGACTGTTGATGAAAGCCAGTCTGGTGCCTGTTCCTTTCAGACCACAGGAGTCATACAAGGAAACTCCAGTCCTGAGTGAGAGCAGTCCACACTGCAGTAAAGAAATGAATCAAGGGCTGCCACACCTAGGAAACATCAGGGCATCACCCAAAGAGAACACTGTGGCCAGGGCTGATCACAGCCCAGGCTGACCCACATCCAGACAATACTGCACCCAATGCACATCCAGAAAGGCAAACACCAACAAAGATTACTCCAAAGTTCTCCATCTCTGCTGCACACAGGGATATCCAGAGGGCTTTTCAACCTGAGGCCCAGGCTACACTCAGACTAGCCAAATGAGGCCATGAAGTGGGAAGCAGGCACTGGCTGGGAATGCTGTGCCCTAGTAACCCAATTTCCATATTTCTCCACTTGCCCGTTAAATGTCTCAGAAGGACAACCTGTGGCTCAGCCAACAATCAGAAAAAAACAAAGCCCAGGAGAGAAACCAAACCATGACCGGCCCTGAGAGGAACCAAATGGGAGACCAGGAAAAAGAACAAACACACAACCAAATCCCACAGTCAACAGTACACTTCACACAGACTGGGCAGGGCTGGTCTTGAGACCAAAGGTTCCAGAACCCCAAAGCTGGCTCCAGGTTCGGGATCCCAAACCAGGTTTTGACGACTATTCGGCTATGTACTCCTCCGGAAGCTGGGACAAGTCTGAACTGCTCTGCCGCTTCACACTGGGCTACTAGAAGGTGAACACACTGTGGAAGCGAAGCTTCTGTAAACCACAGTGTAGATTTCTTGCAGTTCAGGGGAGCTCCTTCCAGAGTCTGAAGGAGGCCCAGGTTCCTGCTTTCCTACTCCCAGCAGCTCCAATCTTCAGATCATCAGGTCCTTCCAGCTTCCCTAGGCACTACATGAAGTTCAGGGCTGCTTATGAGCAGGAAGCCAATGAGCAAAGATCACTGAGGGACTCCACCCAGGGCACCGACAAGACTAATAAGACAGGAAAGTATAAGAGGAAGCGGCCAGGTAAGCGTAGAATTTAAATAATCCAAACAAAGGAGAAGAGTTTTAAACAGTCTGAACTACAGTTTTAAATGTCATCTCTGGAGCATTCAAATATCTTTTAATTATTAATGACTATATTTTCAAAATCAGAAGAACCTGAATTTCTGACTTCTTTGGGAACTTGGCGGGGGGATCGGGGTCCCCCACAGGACAGCAGGGGTGGGAGCTGAAAAGTATCAGAAGGGGTGCTCAGCTCCCCAAGGTCCAATTCAGCCCACTCCAGTCTCCCAGCCTAGAGTCCACGCAGGAAACCCAAGGACAGGAGATAGGAGGATGACTACCACAGAAGGAAATGTCACGGTGGCTTCTCATCACCATGAGCACATTGTTGGCTCTCCCACTGTGGCGCCACTAAGGCAGAGAGAACAACGATGGGATCAAAGCAAGCTACTTTCAACAAAATAAAGGAAGCCAGAACCTGGCTGAGACAGATACTTGTGTGATTTGCTCAGGTTTACTAATTTCTCATTTAAGATTTATTAATGAGGGCTGGAGAAATGGCTCAGAGGTTAAGAACAGTGAATGTTCTTGCAGAAGAGCCAGATTCGAATCCCGGCACCCACATGGCAGCTAACAGCTGTCCGTAACTCCAGTTCCAGAGGATCTGACAGCCTCTTCTGTCCTCAGTGGGTACTGCACGACACGGGTGCACTTACCTACATGCAGGCAATACACGCATACACATACACGCATCCGTAGACAGGGATGAGGAGGGTGCATTCTCTCGTTCATACTATATATATTCATTCATATTCTCTCCCCGTCCCCCTCTCGCCCCGTGTGCCCTGGCCTCTAACTTTCCTTCCTCTGACTAACCGTATTCTCACCTTCTGATGCCCTGCAGGGGCAATTTCTGAAGAGTGAAGGTGCCAATTTCCCTCAGAAGTGAACCCCAGACAATGTTAGCAGGTTCCTAACACTCAACAGTTCATTCCAGGATCCTTGAAAATGAATACACTGCACAGCTTACAGGCAGAAGTAAAAGAAATGATCTGTCATGGAGCCAGAAAGACTGAGGTATACTCAAAAGCTGACATCACCAGTGTTCCCTGCAGTAAAAGGGGACCCTGGCACAGGACTAGCTTCCTTCTCTGAGACCAGTACAGCGGGGTCCATCCTAGGACAGCAGTGTGGGGGTGAAGGAAGTCTCCAGTTGCACCTGCTGACATAGCTACACCAGTAATTGAACCTCATTTCAAAGGAGGAGGGGTGGGAAGGCGGGGTAGCACACAAAGCAATCACAGTGACTGTCTGGGCCAAGAGGTCTATCTAGAGATAACAGGATGACATCAAAAGAGCAGTTCAACCTGTGTTTTCACGCAGGTCCTCAGCTCTCAAGTGTCACCATCCTAATCTTTTATGATTACTAGTGCATTTTAATGCAGCCCACTTTCTCCTGTGTGGTGATGAGTCTCCTTTACCTTTTTAGGGCTGCCCTGCTTACATTTGCAAAGCTTGAAAACCCAGCTCAGCACTTGAAATCAGAAGCTCTCCAATACAAAGAGGCCCTTAGCTTCCTTCAAAGCACTGAGAAGGGACTTGAGAAGAGCCATGTGTGTTTATGGAAACAAGCAAGTGAGAAAACTGCATCACATCAAAGCCACACAAAGAAACAAACTCCTGAGTGCAGTATTAACATGCAGTCATGAGGAATTCTTTCAGGTTCACAGATGAGGCCTCTGGTCCTTCTACATGCTGCTCCCTCGCCCACTATGATGGCCCCTGCTGGCCAATCTCACTTTGGCTCTAAGCTATCTCCCTCCAAGTACCTTTCCTAAGGATCCAAATCTCAGTGAGACTCAAACTTAACCACAGGACTCCACAGTACCACAGGACCTAGTACAGCAAACGTGGGGACAATGCCTAACAAACACCACTATGGGAGTGCTCTGCAAGGTTAAAACTATTTTCAAAATGATGCCGGTATATTATTTTACTTTTTCACTTTTACATTTTTGGTGATCAACTAAATGTGTGCTAAATGTGTGCTGTTTTTTTTTTTTTTTTTATTCCTAATTTGGCAAATAAAAAGTGTAATAACCCAGAAAAGAGAAAGCTCTTTGGGATTTCAATAATTCCTAAAAGTATTAAGAGCCCCCAAACCAAAAGACTTAGAACCACTGGTACAGTCAA